CACGGAGGCCACTGAAAGATTCAGTGATATAAAACAAAAATAACTTTTAGAAACACGTTTTTTGTAATTTTTATTGCTTTATTTGGATGGAAATCTAGTTTCAGAAACTTCTGAAGCAATGTTATGACGATGCCTAGTTGAACAGAGCGTCGACGCGTAGAAGCTGATGGATCCTCAAGGACACTCTGTCGTACAGCTTCCACCACTGCGTCAGTGTGCACAGTGCGTTTAGGACCTCTTCCCAGAAGAACGTAACGTTCTTTTTTTGTTTTTACGATTAGGTTCCGAAAAAAATTACATCTCTAGGTGATACTCTGACATGAATGAAAATGTTGCCGGTATTTTCTCTGAGATAAAATAATTGATCTTTCATTGGAATAGAAAAACTCAATACTCGTTTCTGGCCATCATACGTAGCCATTTTAATCTCCAAGGTATGTTCTATAACCTGCAAAGAAAATAATATAAAAAAGATTGAAAACGAAGAATTTTTTCAGTGTCAACCATATATATATATTTTTATCAGTTTTTCATGTTTCACACACATACACACACACACACACACATATATATATATATATATATATATATATATATATATGTGTGTGTGTGTGTGTGTGTGTGTAAAAATATATAGAAAATAGGAAAGAACTCGTTAGGTAAATAATCCAATGTTCTTTAGTATTTTTGTTATCATTTTTAAAAAATAGTGCTCGATACAAAAGTAGAGCATAAATATAATTATTTATTTAAACATATGATTCCAACGCTACATAAGAGTTCTCATGTTTCAAAACAAGAGCCGAAAACTTCAATATAATTATTTGAATTAAATTGAATTAAAGTACTAAGCTCTGTTCCATCTTCAAGCAAATTTTTTTTTTTTTTTGAATAACTTATTCCTGAAATTTACGCGTTTTATAAGCATTATTGAAATTAAGATTACTATGGTAACGGCTAGAGCAATTGTTTAAATAAAAGGGCGTAAGGGTTAATAATTTGTATCAATATCTCAGTTAGATTCAAAGACGTCAAGTCAGGGTAAGGTTAAATATGTCTAAATTTAAAAGCGGAAGATGACATCGTCTAGTCTGGTTAAGTGTCTATGGAGATTTATTTATTTTTTATTTTATTTTTTTTTCTGAAAGGGTTTTGTATAAAAAACTGTCATTTGTTTTCGGCTTTTGTTTTGATGACTTCTATAAAAACTTTTTTTTTAGCGTTGGAATCATATTTTTTGTTAAATAATTATATATATATATATATATATATATATATATATATATATATATTATATATATATATATATATATTTGTAATTAAAAAATTGTCCAAATCCTTTACAATTTTTTGTCCAGTCGTTAAATTAACCTTAAAAAACTTTTTATCTTAGAAATGATTAAAGATACCTTACTGGAATTTATATATATTTTATAACACAATTGAACTGTACTTTGAGCAATAAGACTGTATAATTACTCTCCAAGCTTATCAGAAAAAAACTGTTATAAGATCGATCATCAACGAAAATGACATGTTCATCATTAATTAATCATAGCCAAGGATCAGAAGCTCATGAAGGATTGAAATAAAGTTCAAATATAGATGTTATTCCATGATCATTTTGCAGCTTATTCAAGATAATCTTCGTCCTCTCTAATCTTCTAACTTTCTGTCCTGGCGTAACAACTTGCCTTCACGCACGATTTCATTTTCAAGTCTTTTTTCACTGTTCTTTTGGACTGTCATAGCTGGAACTCCTCTCTATATACCGGGTGTAACAGCAAAATTGCCCAAATCGTGTGACAGTAAAATTGTCCAATTGTTAGATTAAGCTTTTGAACCAATGTTTCTTAGAAATGATTAAAGTTATCTTACTGGAATTCTCCGAGTTTTTTTATAACACTAAGTTGAAATATTGATCCCTCTTAATGTCTTGAACTCCTGATCCAGTTTTCATCTCTACTGCTCCCTCTTTTTTAGTCTTATTCACTGTTCTCTTGATGGTTCTTGAGCGGACTTTGAAGATGGAAGCCAGAGAATGAATGTTGGTATAATTACTGAAGGCCTGAATGATCTTTTTTCTTCTCACAATTGCTCAGTTGGGCAAACAGTGGGGTGACACAAAAACACAAAACTATTTTAACCTGTTCCCTTTCAAGCTGAATAACTCAAAGTGTTTTTTTTTTTTAGTGATTCTTATGGCAAATGGTATCAAGATGTCTAAACCTCTTTTCTCAAAACCTGTATAAAGAAACTCAATTAGTTTAGCAGTTTTTTTTTTTTTTTTTGGGATGGACAATTATGCTATAACACGATTTGAACAAATTTGGTTTTACACACACACACAAAAATATATATATATATATATATATATATATATATATATATATATATATATTAGACTCTTCAAAAGAAACCTGGGAAAATTTGAATAATACTGTTGTGTATGATACACCTAATTTACATAAGCGGACTACCGACCATATAAATATGGGTTGGTACCGGAAGACGGGGAAGATAGTAGAGATTAAGAAATTGAATCCAGAGACTCTGCCCGACTGCGATTTAGTCAACCCATTATGCAGGAACAGTCTTCCCAAGAATATACCAAACTAACTGTAAATATTGTGTACCTATTCTTTGTTTCAATACATTTTGTTAACGTACATTTTGTGTTGTATTATTCCATGCTTATTTAAGCTTCAACAAATACTAAGTTGACAGTCGTGTTATTAACAGCAATTCGACGCGAACTGCAATGTTGACTAGCTTTTCTTTTCTCACAAATCGAGAGAAAATGAAAAGAATTATCAGTAAACAAGTCTATCGATTTCACCAGTTTGAGAAGGTTCCTGTCTTTTTCACAGCAACAGATGCTCTTTTATTAGAGGTCTTTTTTTCGTTGTCGTCAAATTCTTTGTATTTTTATGATTTCGGGACATAAAAACTCTCATTGCTATTCTGATGTTAGGCTCTATTTCATTCTGTTTGATTAATATCAAGTTGTCTAAATGACCGACAAATAAGATCTAACTTAACAAGTGCCAGATCAGTCCAGAAATGGATTATTGCTGCCATATCTGGTTTACGTGGACTCGCAGGCGGTGAATTATTTTTACTTCTATCACCCCTATCCTGAAGACACAACATCGGAATCGCCTCGAAACGCCTCGAATTTTCCATGGAAAATGTTCTGACGAGCTACAATCCCTGTTTCGACCTTTACAAATAAGACCAGCCATACCACATACACAGGGTCTAACCGTCCTCATCGCCCCCGTATTCCAATAGTAAGAAGGACGTTCTATTTGGACATTTTCTACACAAGAGCTGCACCAAACAATGCAATATTCAAGACAACCACTACGTATCGCACATATCCTCATGTCCCAACCTTTACAACTATATTTTGCTGTCCCCCACGAGGGGTCGCATGTGGCACAAGGCCGAGTTTTACGTGATCACCCGAGCCCGTAGGCCTTACACCTTAGACCGTAGACCTTTACAACCATTACCTATCATAACCTGTACAAAACCCTCTATCTTGAGTGGCTCTTGAGCCTTTTATAGGGTGAATGTTTAGTAAAAGTAAAATCCTGGCAGTTGTAAATGGTAAAAATTAAGACAAAACCGCAATGAGTTGCATATAGTGGGAGGCAGGATTAAAGTAAGTATCATCATCAGTCCCATGACCGGGTGTGGTCTTAGGGTCATTGCGCATCTGAGCACCTCAACATTTCCTTCCGCATATCCACATATCTAGGCTGAAAGCCGGATTAGTATTCATTCACGCGTACTGTGTCTTGGGCGAGTAGACTTGGCGGATCCCGTCCCTCTCCAGATCAAAACACAGTTGAAGGCTCATCTTGGTCACGGATAAAAGGACCGTTGATTCCACTGTCGCAGTATCAAATAAAGATTCAGCATTTGTGGTGGAAACGTCAGGTATTATAGCCAAGGTCGAGATTGAACCTGTGTTTGCGCAACTCTGTTATTTTAGGCGGTTTACCACTTAAAGGGTTGGAAGTTTTCCAATATCTCGGGAGTACTATCACAAAAAACGGTGAGGTGATTAGAGGATCAATCAGATTTAGACTATGAACAGATGGTGTCGCCTCTTGTCGAGAACATTCTTACATTGTACGATTTATAGACAATAATGATCCAACATGCTCAGCTTTTTTTCTGTTATCCTGAATATGTGAACAAAAACTGTCTAGGTATTAACTCTAGTAATCAAATCGCTGCTGTCTCTCATAAAACCTTCTATTGTGTCCTTTGCCTACGTTATCTGTCGGCTCGTATTGATTGTTCAGAAGTACCATGTCTTGTGAATTAAATAGTTATATAATTTTAATCGGTACCAGAGCTTAGTGTTCTGGTTCTGGTTGAGAGCAGGGTGTAGAACGATGATTTTCAAAGCAAACCTTTAACGTTTGAAATGCTGGCGTGACACAGTCTTCCCTCCATCATTTTCTCTTTAGTTTGCATTATACTCTACAGAAGTAAGATTAGTCAATTTCAGGATTTTGCGACTCGTTCTTGAGCAATGGTTAGTTCAGCCCGCAGATCATTCATGAATCCCGTAACCGCGTTAGATTCGCTGGTGCACCACGTGTTCTGTGGCCGTACCAGTATGGGTTCATCTAATGCAAGGTAACCTGACGGAGTCCATTCCTCTCAAGGTTGGTTTTAAATATAGAATTGTTCTTTTTCTAGACTGATTGTCTTGTCAAGGCGGTTTGTTTTATTATTTACTAGGGTTTGAATCACAGGGTGTTTCTTCTCCTAGATTGGCTGTTACTCAAGTTAAGCCAACCCAGCCTGACTCTGCTATTTAACCCTTAGCTAGGGGAAGATCGAGTCCAAGACCATTAATGGGAAACAAATAAAGAATATAAAAAGAAGGTAGCAAGAAAGAATGGAGAAGGAAAAAACGAATGAGAAAAGAAGAAAAGCGGACAACAAAAAGGAAAAGAAGATTTATAAGAATAAAACTAAACAGCAACAACAGAAGAAAGAAAGAAAGAAAGAAAGAATAGATTAATGAATGAAAAATAAAAAGAAAGAAAGGTAAAAAAAATGAAAAAAAGCTAAAGAAAGGGTAAAACAAAAAAGAAAGCAAGAAAAGGAAAAGAAGAAAGAAAGGAAAGAAGAAAAGAAGGAAGAAAAGAAAGAAAGATAAAAGGAAAGAAAATGAATCAAAAAAAAAAATAAAAGGAAAGAGAGAAAAATAAAAGGAAAAAACGAAGGCGAAAAGAAGAAAACAGGACAACAAAAAGGAAAAGAAGTTTTATAAGAACAAAGCCAAACAGCAACAAGAAAGAAAGAAAGAAAGAAAGAAAGAAAGAATGAATGAATGAAAAATAAAAAAGATAAAAAATGAAAGAAAGCTAAAGAAACAGTAAAAGAAAAAAGAAGAAAAAGAAAAGAAGGAAGTAAGAAGAAAAAAGAAAGAAAGAAAGAAGAAAAGAAAGAAAGATAAAAGGAAAGAAAAAGAATCAAAGAAAAATAAAAAGAAAAGAAGTGACAAAAGAGAAAATGAAACGATAACTGAAAGAGAAAAGAAATAAAAGAAAGGAAGAACAAAAGAATAAAGAAAGAAAAGAAAAAGTGTAGGAAGAAAGAAAAAGAATGAACGAAAAATTAATAAAGAAATAGATAAAAAGGAAAAAGAAAAGAAGGACAAAAGAAAAAAGGATAAACAAAAGAAAAAGAAAATGTGGAAGGAAAAAAAAGGAAGAACAAAAAAAGTGGAAAAAAAGTAATAAAAAAGAAAAACAAAAAAACGAAAGAGAAAAGAAAAGTAAGAAAGAAGAAAAGAATAAGGAAAGAAAAGAAAAGAGAAAGGAAGAGAGAAAAAAAGAAAAAGAAAGCAAGGACTAGAGTAACAAAAAGAGAAAAATAGAAAGAAATAATAAAAAAGAAAGAAAAAACAAAAAAAAAATGGAAGACAAGTAAGAAGAAACGAAAGAATAAATAAAGAAAAAGAAAAATGGAGAAAGAAAGAAAAAGAAAGAATGAAAAGAAAAAAAGGAAGACAAGTAAGAAGAAACGAAAGAATAAAGAAAGAAAAAGAAAAATGGAGAAAGAAAGAAAAAGAAAGAAAAAGAAAGAATGAAAAGAAAAAAAAAGGAAGACAAGTAAGAAGAAACGAAAGAATAAAGAAAGAAAAAGAAAAATGGAGAAAGAAAGAAAAAGAAAGAATGAAAAGAAAAAAAAGGAAGACAAGTAAGAAGAAACGAAAGAATAAAGAAAGAAAAAGAAAAATTGAGAAAGAAAGAAAAAGAAAGAATGAAAAGAAAAAAAAGAAGACAAGTAAGAAGAAACGAAAGAATAAAGAAAGAAAAAGAAAAATGGAGAAAGAAAGAAAAAGAAAGAATGAAAAGAAAAAAAGGAAGACAAGTAAGAAGAAACGAAAGAATAAAGAAAGAAAAGAAAATGGAGAAAAAAAGAAAAAATTGAATGAAAAAGAAAAAAAAAAAGACAAGTAAGAAGAAACGAAAGAATAAAGAAAGAAAAAGAAAATGGAAAAGAAAGAAAAGAAAGAATGAAAAGAAAAAAAAGGAAGACAAGTAAGAAGAAACGAAAGAAAAAGAAAAAAAAGAAAAATGGAAAAAGAAAAGAAAAAAAAAGAATGAAAAAAAAAAAAAGGAAGACAAGTAAGAAGAAACGAAAGAATAAAAGAAAGAAAATTTTTGGAGAAAGAAAGAAAAAAAAAAGAAAGAATGAAAAAAAAAAAGGAAGACTAGTAAGAAGAAACGAAAGAATAAAGAAAGAAAAAGAAAAATGGAGAAAGAAAGAAAAAGAAAGAATGAAAAGAAAAAAAAGGAAGAGAATGAATAGTAAAATAAGTCCAATGTCGCAATGTTTTAAAACGAGCAAAACGTCGACAGTTAACGACTTAATTTCCATCAAATGAATAATTTGTCGATGCAGGCAATTAAACGGGCATAAATGTTTACAATCTGCATAATGAAAAAGGCAAGACATAAAAGGAAAAGGGAGGAGGACTGGTTGGTAAGTATCAAAAAATTGGTTCACTTTGCTCTCGAGTTGAAATTACAATTAATTATATTACCCGTGTCCGATCAATTAATTCCTTTCCTATTTTTTCATATATATTTCCTAATCTTGCAAGGTCAAATAGCGCCAGATGGTTCTCGTCTTTCAAATCAGGGAAGTGTACCTTAAAAATCGGCATTCAAAATCCTGAGGCCTCAATTATCTAACCAACCAAACAAGTAACAAATATTTATAAAGTTTAACGCAACCCGTGATTTGTGTATAGAGTAACGGCTGTCACCATCAAAAATGGAATAACCGAACTGAGTTCGGATTCAGGCCGAGTTCGTTGCGATCACTTCGCGCCGATGCCCTTACGAAAAGCACGAATCAATTTTTTCCCGTCCTACCCCCAGCTTTTGGTTAAATCGGAGGGGCTCTCAAGCTAAAGATAGCAGATAGAGAAATATTATCAAAGAAAAATTCTCCCACCGGCAGGATTCGAACCTGCGTCCCTCCTTTCAAATTTGATAAGCTTTCTCGAACATTCAGGCCGGTATATTAAAATAAATAAAGAAACCGTTTAATAAATAAACGGGGTGTATATTCAAATATGGGTATCTACTAAAAATAACGTTTAAAGGGATAAAAAAAAATATGTCTAATTAATATATAAAAAAATCCAATTGCTTTGTGTATGCTTCGAATACAAAGTCGGTCCTAAAATAGGTTCGACGTACAAAACGTTAGGAACTTGATATAATAGCTAATGACGCAGAGAAATCTAGTGGTGGTCGCTGATACTTTAGTATCCGACTAACGGTCGTCCGGCATCTACTGACTGACCAACGATATTTAGTCACCCCCCCCCACCACGAGGGCATCATGTGGCACAAGGCCAGTTTAACGTGAGATCTCCGAGTCCTTGGGCTCGGCCAAAAATATGCCGACCCTGAACCCGTTTATACGGGTTCAGGGTCGGTTTACCTCCCCGAAAGAGAATCCGCCCTTCGGCGTAGCCTCGTTCGGGTTCCTCCCCGCCCGAAGGCAGAGAGTTCAACCGATCAGCCGGTCGACTGACTGACCAACTCACTCAGTTACTCTTACTACTCCTACTTATTATAGGTGGAAAGTCTATTAACTATAGAATAGGTGTGTTCCACTATAACAGAATGTTCGGGTATTTAAAAGGTTACGTGTTTCAAAATTTGAGCCTTTGATTAATCAACGAAGCTCTTTGCTCCCGAGTAGATTAAAATTATATCGGGTCTAACGACGGTTTCTCCGGCAAAGCTGACGCCAGTTTGAATCCTGTAGGAGAGCGCATTTCTATTTGGTAACATTTGTCGAATATTCAGTTCGGTAGACGGAAATAAAATAGTAGTTAACAAATAAACAAAATATCTACTCAGATATGGATATTTTTTTCTTATTTAAGTATTTCACCCCAAGCAAGGCGGGAGTGCCACCAGCACGCAAGGGGTTACAGAGAATTGAGAGCAAGAGTAGAGTGGCGTGTTTGAGGAAAGGATATAGAGAAGGACGGAGATCAGGGTCAAGGCATCAGAAGATGTCAATTGACATTACATCTGGATATTTAAAGATTATAGCTATCAGGGAAGCAAGTAAGAGGAAGGGAGTTCCACTGTTGGGAAGTGCAAGAGAAGACGCTGTTGGAGTAGAAGAGAATTCATTTTTTGAACTATTTCAAGTGTTCACCGTTTAAGATAGCAAATATTCATATTTAGTAGCACGTGGAAATTCATGCAGTTGGGGTACCAGTGAAATGCCACTAGTACGACAGAGGGTTCAGAAGAATTGAGTGAGATTGTTTTAACTGGGAGAACTGAGGAAAGGATGAATGAACGGGGGTTCAAGACGCTGGATTTAGATTTTTGAAGATTGTAGTATTCAGGGAAGCAAGTAAACGGAATGGAGTTCCAAATGAAAATTAGTGCGATTAAAGAAACTGTTGGAGTAGAAGTGGCAGTTACATTTAACTATTTCAACGGTAAAAGGGTAGGGCCTAGATGCCAATCTAGTAGCACGCGTAAATTCATGCACCAGGGAAAAAAGATCGTCAAAGAGGATGCCATGAAAATATTTGTAGAAAAGACAGAGGGAGGTCACACCACATCTATGAGAAAGTGACTGTAGACGAGATGCCAGGTCAGGATCTATCACATTGCATATCCGTTTTTTGATTTTCTCGGGAGCCACGAGATGATCAGCGGTATTCCATGCAAGGGCGAATGGTAGATTTGTAGATTTGAAGGCAAGCTCAGGTGAGAAAAACCTTCTGGCTCTACACGGAGAACCAACTTTCTTTGCGGTAGATGATCGTTGATAAATTTAAAAGATTAAACAATAAAAAGAAATTATCAATACAAATGAGATAAAATGTTGCGTTCATATCTATATTTTGTGTATACGTCAATTATCTATTATTCATTCCTTAAGGGAAGTCGAGATGCCGGATCAGGACATATAACATTGCATGTCCGTCTCTGGATTTTGTCGAGGACGTCGAGATGATCAGCGGGTATACCAGACCATATATGGCAACAGTACTCACTGCAAGGACAAATGGTAGATTTGTAGATTTGAAAGATGAACTCAGATGCGAAAAAACTGGTTGACACACTTTAACCAAATCCACTAAAAAAAATATTTAAGTTAATATATATATATATATATATATATATATATATATATATATATATATATATATATATATATATATATATATGGCAATAGCGTTGCCTTGATTTGATTCAAAAAATCGTAATACTCATACAGCAATCACTTTCATTCACTTAAAATATTTTTGCCCTTTCTTGCCTTTAAAGGAGTGCCCTTTGCCGTGCTGATGTTGCTACATGCCTTACTTCTTGCCTATCTCACACTGCGAATTTTTTCTAAGCTCTATACTAAACATTAAATCAGTTACCAAAAAAGAAATAAACAAAATGAACACAAACGGACAGCTTTAAAAACGGACTCGTAAATGAAAAAACCCAATGAAAAAAGAATGTTAACAACAAATACTTTTTCACGCCCAACCCAGTTCTGCGGAATCAGAATCAACGTTGAGTTTAAATAAGCAAATGAGCCAATTGGAGTAAAGTATCATTTCATTTAAATTTTTTCCCACTTGTGACGAATGCAGCTATCGATTGACTTTTTTTGCATGCTAGCATGCTTCTTAACATTCGTGTCAGTCATGATTTGGCTCTCACGCTGGCCAATAGAATCTTCCTGTTTTATTCGTGGCAGCCAGCTATAGTCTCAGATCTGGCCAGTAGAAAATGGCCGCAAAATACATGAAAACTGCCGTAAAAATAAAAAAAAATAATCCACTATCGATGGGAGTTGGGAAATTCAAAGTCGGTCTTGGTCTTCCCACTTTTCTTGGAGCATGTGCATTTGTAAATTTTGGTAAAAGTCCTGCCTTTTATATAAAAATGTCTAAATTATTCTAAATGAAATATATATATATAAAGATATATATATATATATATATATATATTATACATATTTCATTGAATAATTTATACATTTTTTATTTAGATGTTTTTATAAAATTTCTTTTCATATTCAGGACAAGATTTCTACTGAAATTATTAAAGGAAGAGAGAAAAATTTCCATAATGATACATATTTATTTCTTCCGAATAAAAAAATCGAATATTAAAAATGCCATAATAAGGCTGTTGTTTATTTTGTGTCAAATATTGTAATGTTCATCATTTTTAAAGACAAAATTTTAAATGTTAAATCTGAAATTATTTTTTTTCAATAATGTAGTGAAATAAATTTGCAATAAAAAATAAGTCTGTACAATTCAAAATCTAAAAACGTAAAAGATTAAATATGAAATTTATGTCAAGAGTTAAAAAAAAAATTCAATAAAAATTGTCTCAATAAAAACATGCTTATATATATATATATATATATATATATATATATATATATATATATATATATATATATATATATATATATATGGTTATTTTAATTTATATTACAATGAATCATTCATATAGACTGCAAACAGTAACGTTAATAGATAAAACAGCGAATTCACTTTATAACTTAAATACATTTTGACAAACCTTTCTTTGCGAAAATGGCCATATATCATATAGGCTATTGAATTTCACCTACATGAAATTTCATTTTATGTATTTCATATATATATATATATATATATATATATATATATATATATATATATATATAAAATAGTGAAAACGAACATCACAAAAAATAAACAAATCTAACATTTTGGGAAAATATTTTGCTTCGTCAAAATCTTAAAATATATAAATGATAAAATTTATAAAAAAATAAAGAGACGTATTAATTGCACTAATTGTTTAGATGTGCCACGTGTATTGAAGTAACAGATAATATTTAAATATGTGATGAAAAACATTCTCGACAAGTAAAAAAAGTAAAACTTAGAATTGACACAGTAAATGTTTTGATTGGATATGTGTCACGTGAAGTAACAAATAATATTCAAAGAAGTGGCAGAAAACATTTTAAAGTATGTAAAATAGCGAGACGCTATGATATTTTGAACAATTTTTCTTTAGGAATATATCTCGTGCGTATTTTGTATCTATATTGAACTTAAATTATTCGGAAGAGATAAGGGTCTTTAACATATTTAAATATTATCTGTTTTTCATTTCACGTGACAAAATATGAAAAATGATGAAATATATAAAAAAAGAACATGCAATTTTGTCCGCGTCTTTTGCTTTTATCAATTTTTTTTTTTTCATTTGATCGCTTTTTGTTGAAACTTTAATAAAGGGAAACATGTTTTTTGTTCGTTTTTTGACATTTTGTTTATATTCCTATTCAAATTTTTTATCTCTGATTTTTTCTTCTGTCTTTATACACACACACACACAAAACACACACACACACAATATATATATTCATATATATTTATTTATATATATATATATATTTAT